AGGCTCCTATCTCTATGAATGCCCCAGGGAAAGGAGCTGTGCGTCCCTGGCCCCAGAAGATGACATCTCATTGACATTCCCTTGACCTCAGCCACAGTTCTCACCTTGCCACACCCTCACACCCACGAAGTCCAACTGTCCAGCTGCAATTGAAAAGCTCGGGATTCTGGTGACCACAAAGCCACAGCTGCCCAGGGCCAGAGCAGATGCTTCCTTTAATCCTGCCACCACTGCCATGGCCAACTACTGTTGTTCATATTACCTGCAAAACTCTGCAGACATATGCATTTGGGCTCCTGCTTCCCCTGCTTTAATCTCTGAGGGAAAGAATAGGGGCTACTGGGAGAGTGTAGCCACAGTGACACAGATCGCTCATGAGTAGCCTTAATGAAAGCTGTGGCTACGCAAAGGCTACACAAAGGAGTGAGGGAGGCTGGAAGACAGAAAGGAAGAGGTTTTGCTGAATGTCATTGGCCCTGGAGTCAGTACTGACCCAGATGTCACCTCCCAGGAAGAGGTTGGCATGGCAGCTGCCTTCTTTCCCTGTCCCCTTGTTCCCCTGGGCCAGAACTGATTAGTGACTCTCTTTTCACTTGCTACTTTTCCTTAAGCCCAGGAGACCAGCAGCCGCCACACTGGCGTTGGAGACTCGGGAGTCAAATAGGAAAATGCTGCAAATGTCCCCCGGCTGTAGTAAAAGTCCTAAAGGAGGGTCAGGGGTGCTACAGCATTGCCCCCACGGTGCATCTGACAGTCTCCAGACAAACCTGCAAATATAGGGAGGACAGGCCCTGTCACCACATTGCCACACTCCTGCCTTACAACCTCCTTATAGTGGCCTGCCCATCCCCCTTCTCCAGATGATGAAGCCCAAGTCCCCACCGGGAGTCCTCAGTCACCTGGGTGCCACCTGTCCACACCTCACACGCCAGCTGCTGAGACCTCCCAGCCTCTGATCATGCGTCTCTCTGCCCGGGGCCCTTGCACCAATTCTCCACATCTTCCTAGTTGTTTAAGGTTCTCCTTAAGCACCCCCTTTCCAAAAGAACCTTCCTGACCCAAACACATCCTCCTCCTCTGCATATCTCCCCCACGCTCTCTCATACTCTGTACCCCACAGCACTGCACAGTCACACCGTCCTGCACAAGAGCCTGGGCGCAGCCCCAGCCAGGACTGTGTTTATCTGTTGAACCATGGAACGATACCTTGGATGAACATGAATAGCTGTTTACTGAACAATTAGGAAATGCAGGCCGCTGTGCTAAGTGTTGTAAAGACAAATTAACCCCGCACTGTGGTCTTCCAGGGAAGGCATTAGGACTAGCACAGCTGCTTCCCGGAAGAAGAAATGGGCCAGGAGGCACTGAGCCATTGCCAAGCACCTGAGCAGTCATTCCTTACACAGTCTGATGAATCAGCCTCCATGGACCTTTGGGGCTCTGCCTCTTGTCCCTCTGAGACTTGGGTGCAGGCAATGCTCCAACACTGTGTGTCACTCTGCAACATGCAGGTGTCCTGTGCTGTCCATCTGCTCAGGACAAACCAGCTTAGGAAGGGGAACAATGTGGGTAAGAGGATGCAGGGGCTCAAGAACAGGAAGCTAAAGCAGGACAAAAAGCCAGGCTCTGGCCCTGACGACTTTGGTTCACCTCAAATTAACAAGTTGGAAGCTTTGGGGAGCCTCGACTAAATCCAACTAACTCCTCTATGTCCTATCTCTAAAGATACCTAACTCCTGGCAAGTAAATGTTAACATCCCTCCACTGATGGGCACTCCCTGCTACTCCAGTTCAGCCAAGACCCTGCCAAGTTTCTCTCCCAGATGAATCTAACCCTGGGTAATTTAGGGAGAAAACCAACAAACTGAATGGGAGACATCTCCCCACCGATGTCCATACCACTGACACCCCCAACAGAACCTCACCTCTGTCTTACTGAAGCCCCCACCTTCTTGTCCTGCCCTCTGCTTGCTGTTACCCACAATGACCTGGCTCTCCCAGTTCCCAGCTCAGTCCACTCCCAAAGTGCCAGGGTTCTGGAATCCCCCAGAACTCTCCTCCTTCTCTAGAAAGGAAACAGGAGGGGAACTATAGAGAGGACACTGGGCTGTTGCTGGGAGGATGGAAAGCTTAAAACCACAGGATCTGTGGCAGACAGAGGAAGAAACCATCGTCAGCTTCCAGAGGATGCCCTGGGTTAGCACTCTGCAGCCAGAGGCTGAGTCCTTGGCTCCTGAGCAAGGTCGAATGGAAAGCTGCAGAGATGTAGATAGAGGATACTGTGTGTGTGTGTGTGTGTGTGTGTGTGTGTGTGTGTGTGTGTGTGTGTGCTCGCACACAGAACTGTGTGTGTAGGAAGGACATTTGAAAGAGAATCCCTAGGAAGGTGGTGCTATTTCCAAGAAAAATAGCAATAATGGTGGGATCACCCAGCAGCCCCTGTTGGCTTCGAGGAAGTGGAGGTGATGACAGGCATGGGCCTAAACACCTGGGCCTAGAAACCCCTGGGCCTCAGATGAGCCAGAGGAGTTGGGTCACAGATTCCTCTCCCCAGCAGGTGTCTCCTGGGCCCAGTTAGCACTCGGTTATGTATTGCCAGGGCTGGAATAAGAACCTTTCTCCATCAGGGAAACTCCTGAAACAAAGCTAAAGGGGTGTTCCAGCTGCAGAGCCCACTGACAAGCCACATCCCCACTTCTAGTCATGGGATCTTCTGTGTCCCTAATTCTGACCCCAAAACAGTACTCTAGCAAGAGCTCTGGGGAGCTAGGCAGGGACTGTAGGGCGCCAGAACTTTGCACAGGGCACCACTTGCCCTGACAGAAATAGAAAATTTTGCTTCATCCTTTCATTCAAACATGAACACCTACTATGTATGCCAACCATATTTCTCACCCGAGGAATGCAACATGATCCAGTTAGTCCACTTAAACAGAGAAGTGGAGTAACTTGCCCAAGGTCACACAGCCAGTAAGTGATAGAACTCATTCAGACCCAGATCTTACCAGTTCTGAAATCACTGTTCAGATACAATGAGGGAAGCACGATTTGGTGGCCTAGTGGTCTGTGGGATGGCAGAGGCAGTTCTTAGAAGTGAGATGGGCATGTTCCAGCAACAACAGGGAAAACTCTACATCTAATCCCAAAGAAACCCACAGGAAGTTCTCAGCACTCCTCATTCTCCCCTGATTCCTTCCTAAACCTCGGTCCACCTGCTGGGAGATCTCAGCTGCATCTTGGGGAAATGCTTTTGGCATCTCTCAAATCTTCTTAATTCACTGACAAGGTAATGACTGCCTTGATCCATTCACATGTGGTTTCTAAAGGAGTTTCCCCATTGGAATGCAAAGCAGGTTCCCCTGGCTTGGAAAAAAATGCCATTCCTTTATTTTCTAGCAGATTTAGCCCTTAAGTACATTTTAGTGTGTTTAAGCTGATCTGAATGGACAGTTCTAGGTATGTACTCTCAGTAGGTACTGTAGCCTAACATGACCCCCTGTACTGCTATAGGAATCCATATTTCATAAATTGATACATTTGTTATCATCATCATGAATTTGGGAAGTTGGGGCTCATCACTGGCAATGCCCCATTTCGCTGTAATTCACCTAGCATAGTTCCTGCCACTTTGTCTAGTATTTTCCTGCTCCAGCAGGAAAAAACTGATTATTTTTATATATCCTGATCTTGGGACCTTTTGCTCTCTTGAGTTTTTGTTCTTTTTAAGCCAAACCCTCTCCGTACCACAGCAGAACCTCCAAAACTAAGCTGAACAATTTTGTACCCCTTAGCCCTCCCCCAGCCCTCTGCTCCAGGCAAAAACTGCCAGCGTGAGCAGACATTTGATCAGTTTCAGAAGCTGTGATATTACACTGCCCAGATGTTCAAGCTGCCTGGGCTAAAGGTTCATGTTCCGCACAGTCACGGCCTCCCCAGCCTGTGCCACCCCATCTCCTGACTCCACCAAGAGCCAGGATTCCAGCGAATAAAGGCAGCCAAGATGGAGGATAAGGAGCCTGCCTGGAGCGAGGGCTCATGGAAATGATCCTTTAGAGTCTTCCCACAGCCTACACAGTATTTGCTCCGGAGTATTTGCTCCGGAAGTCCTCTGGGGCCTTTCGGACTGGACAGTGCTCCCCAAATGCCTGCCACTAACATCTCTCCCCCCTCCCCATGCCTATTTCCATTGTCATAAGTTTAAATAGAGTTTGGAGGGGGCCTGGATATTTCACTGAAGAATGCAGGCAGCAATCTACGTGGCTGGAGTAACCGGGCCACTTAAGTGTAACTTATTTCTGCCCAGAACATTGGCAGCTGAACTTCACTGAGAAGGAAAGGCAGACATTACAAACTCAGCATCAAAGAAAATTGTTTTCTGCTACCAGGATGAGGGGGGAGGTGATAAGCCCCCAACATGCCCACAGAAATACAACCAAGTCCTCACACATAGGTACCCGGGGAAAACTGTGCTTTGTAAATATGCCACTGCAGATAATTAGCCACCACAGGAAGTCAAATTCCAAGACCAATTCACACCGTGTCAAATTTTGGATTGAACCAAACCCACTCACCCAGGCTCTGTAGCAGGGCCATGAGAACCACTGACTCCTGGCAGTAGTAGTCACCGATGCTGGGCTAGAAGGTGGCACTGACAATGGTCAGTCCCTGCCAAACACCCTCATCCCTCCTTGAAGGTTGGCCAGAGGCAGACTGGCTTCCTGTTCAGGGCAGATGTGGCCTATGGCAGGATACCCAGTCCTACTCCTCACTTTAGGGACTGGGCAGCTGGGGTCTGGAGAGGGCAGGGTTATGGTTCAGTCAGTAGGGTGCTGCAGGGGGCTCACCTCAGAACCGACTTCTCCCATCATCATGAAGTCACACTCTACCCTAGACGGTCACCCAACACTCTCAGAATTCCCCAAGACATGAAGAGTGGAAGCAACCTTTTACATGACTCCCAACCCTGAGAAATGCCAAACAACCTCATCTTCTAAGAGCAGTGGTTTCCAAAAATGTATTTTTAGCAGCAGAAGCCATCCTCCAAACAAAACTTTATGCAAAAACTTCAAGCTGCAAAACACATCAGCAGTGCTTGCCTGGGTAGGGCCTAAGCTAGACCCCAGGCTGCCCCACCCCAGCACCAAAACTCCCTCCACAGGACCCTCTGTGGATCTCACTTTGAAGCCCCAGGCTTTGGGGGTACCTCCAAGCTCTGCAACTAAAGCAGCAAGATAGGGTGGACTCTTACTTAAGAGCCCTGGGTGGTATAGCTAGTCTCTGAGGCTTGGACAACCTCGTTCTCCACTAGGACCTGGCCCCCATCCCCAGCGAGCTGCCTCATGCGCAGGTTGATGGAGCCATAGGTCTTCCTGGATCCCCTGCCAGGGACAAAGGTCTGCCTGCGGTACAGCTCCCCCTTGCACAGAGAGACCATGAGCAGCACAGAAAGGAGCATGCCACCCACTGTGAGCAGCCCCAGGCCTGCGATGATGCACTTGTCCAGATGCGAGCCCAGTCGGGCATAGTACATCTCTAGGCGCTCCATCTCCCTTGCTGTCACTGTGTCAGGGTTGACTCGGGCCTCTCGAGGGATGGCATATGCGGTTACCACCAGGAGGATCCCGCTCACCAAGAAAACCAGAGCAGAAACAAAGCCATAGTCCACTGGGCGGCTCACAGGTTCCAGGCCAGGCCCCTCCTCTGAATGCAGAGAAAGATCATCCCTCTGGGACCGGGGCAGTGAGGGGACACCTCCAGGAGGACTGGGGGAGCTACCCAGTCTGGAATCCCCAGGGTTCTGGAAACGAGTCTCATGCTCCTCGGAGAAGAAGCAGGCATTCTCCACACCCATCCTGGGTGGCGCCACTGGACCCAGTGGGGCTGGTCTCCTTGGAACCTGGGGACCATTGCTCAATGTCTTCAGTTCCAGACCAGGGGGAGATGCCATTGGGAAGAATGACCCCAGCTCATCCCTTGGCCCCTTGGCAGCTAGAAGAGAAAACAGAATATCAGTTGAAGCTCAACATCACATTTGTCCCTGGCACAGCTGTGGGAGGCTATGGACAGTAGAGCAATGTGGCCTGTGCTAGGTCACCACTCCACAGTGGCTGGTGCAATTATCCTGTCTGGGCCTCAGTTTCCCTACTGAAACAATTTCCCAGTGACAATACTAATACTACTCCCTACTGCACAGTGGAAAGGCTGAGGTGACCCCTGTGTAACGTGCACAGTAGAGTACCCAGGAAGTATCGATGATGGGATGTCACCATGATGGGAGAATTCAGAGTGGATATGAGGTCCATATCCCAGTCTCCTTGCTTGTGCTTAAGTTGTGATGGAGCTCCTCTGCAGAAACAGTGTTCTCATGTGTAAAATGGGAAGCCTCCCTTCTGGATGTGGTAAGGGTAGTGTTCATCAGGCTGTGGCCAGTTCAGCTAACCCACAATGTTGTATGAGCATGTGTGAGACGAGGTGATGATGAGGTGTGGCAGACACAGTCAAGGTGGTATAGGAACTAGTGGATGAAAGTTTGGGGAATCTTGGGGTAGGATGATGGCATCTAAAAACTGCCAAAAACAGAGTGGGAGATTCCCTAGCAGGCAGAGGTTGGGAAGGGGGATCCCAAAGATCACCTGGGTCAGTTCACGGAGGACTGGAAGTGGGCAGTCAAGTTGTTGAAGCAGGATTTTAGAAGGCAGAAGGTCACACCCATGGAGCACAGGGTCCAGGGAGGAAGGAGGGGAAGAGCAGAAGCCTTAACTGAGCTCAAAGTCAAATGCCTTTGTGTGAGCAGGCAGGGATTGGGTGTGGGGACAAAGAAGATGCTACCAAATCCCTGGACACACAGCACACAGACTCTGCACACATGCCCTTGTGCCAAAAGGCCACCAGCCTGTAGTCATGGGCCAGACTGAGGTCACTGGAATTCTGCTTATTTCATTTCCAATTCTATTCATTGGGTTCTGGCCCTTTAGTTTCGTGCCATATATATATATGTGTGTATATATATATATTATATATATATATAATGATTTCACCTTTTAAGCTTTGCATTCCTGTAGGGAGCAAGTGATGTTCTCAATGAGTGTATTGTTGACCTAGGGATGGCCATCTCAAGGACTGGTCCCACAGGAGTGGGGAAGCCTTCCCCACATGAGACTCGGAGGGGCAGCAAAGCCTTCTTCAGGTCCAAATGAAAATGTAGACAGTGTGCAGAAAATGTCCACTTTTCCCTCCCCCACATGGCCTGATGACTTCCCCTGCAGAGGCTGCTCCTACCAAGTTAGCTACACCTGCCTCCCTGTTCATCTGTAATATCCCTGCCTGCTCACTTAGGCATATACAATAACCCTGCCTCCCGATTCAACTGTGTGTAATAAACGTGCTGACCCAGGACTGCCGTGGCTTCTCCGCTGGAGAGCAGACCACCCGATCCCAGCTTTTCTGTGTGTCCATGGATCTGTCTTTTCCTCATTCCCTTTCTGCCCCAGTCAGGCCAATCCCTAGAGCCGCACAGATGCAGCAGGTTCCCTTTCCAACCTCTCTTGCAAATGTGACTGCCATGTGCCACCATCCCCTCACAATATACAGCTGGCATTGGCAGTTGGCCCTTTCCCTTACGTGGGTCTCAACTCTCCTCAGTTCCACGGCAGGTGCACAATGTTCCACACACACTCTGATGTCCTGAATACAGCACTGACACACAAATGCCCAGGTAGCCGAGACCCTAGCATGGAGTGGCTCTCACGCTCTGATGTGTTTACACACCTGAAAGCTGGTTCTTTGTATTCTCAGGTCATTCTCCAGTGCTCTGTGGGTGCCCGTGTTTCTGTGCAAATGTGAGCAAATAAATGGAGCAATGGTAAATGAGATGAATAAATGAATGAAACTCCCAGGGGTTGAATGTGAGAAGTCTTTCTGACCTTCCCATGTGGACTTGTTCTCTTAGCAAACACATAGCCTTTCATATCAGTTCAAAGGCTGTTCCTGCTTACAACTCCCTTCTAGCACTGTGCCCCTCCTCCGCCGTGTCCATTTGACACATGCTTGCTGAGCATCGAATGTCTGTTAGACTCTCGCCTTAGCACTAACTCGGGAATAGCTCGGCTCTATCACTATCTTAGAAAACATGGCGAGATCCCATGGTATGTATGGGGACTAGGAACCAATAGTTGAATATGGGCACCCCAAGAATCTCTATTCCCCCACACACTTGCAAACCCACACACTCCACATTCCTTCCCTGACTCTCTGAATCCTCACTTGAGACATTAAGCATGGGCATCCTGAAGGCAGAGCATCCCTCTGAATCTACCCCACCCCCACCCCGTCTCCCCTCAGTTCCCAGATAGGATAGTCGACTTTTTGCTCTTGGCACTAAAAGCTACTCAGAGCCTGAAGTAGGTGCCCCTTGTGGCCCCCACCCATCAAGTCCTCAGTAAGCCTGCAGAACTCGGGAGTGGCCCATAACCCCTTTTCTAGACTGGTACATTAGTGCCTCCATTTCCCAGAAGATATCGGGGCCTCCCAAATTCTTAGAGCAAGACTCTTTTACCTAAAACTTTTGTCGTAGGATGCCTGGGTGAAAGAGCAGACACAAGGAGAGCCTCTCTCCAATAGCTTTAGAATGTCTGTTTCTCTCATAAGACACTTAGCAAGTTACTCAAGGGCATGCCCATCAATTCCCCAGACACAAGCAGAGCCACACAGATGTTGGTGTCCACGGATCACACCCCCAAACCTGAAACCGCACCAGCTATTGTATCTGCAGTCCTATAGTTCCTGAAAGGCAAGCTCCCACCCCCACCCGTTCCACACTCATTGCCCCTGGGACTGTTTCCACAGCAATATCCACAGACCCGGGAAACAACTGTGACTCACAGGTCCACGGGTCACTCTGGTGGTACCCAAAAGAGGGTAAAATTGGGGGAGATGGGGCGGGATGAGAGAGGGAGGGAGACAGGGAGAAAGGAGACAGAGACTACCTCTAGCACTGCTGAGATCTAAGCCGGATCCACCCAGACCTGCTCGACTCCAACACCCCCACCCATGGCGCACGCTGACACCCACCCGGGAGCGCGACACACTGCGTGGCTGGGGTGAAGCTTCGCAAACCCAATCGATAGACACACGCACTCGTAGTACACAAAGCCTCGGGCGTGCAGATGCACATACGCAGGTCCACGCTGTTATACCCAAAGTTCCGCGCGGAAAGCCCCAGAGCCCCGGCCTCCCGCCTCCCCCGCGCCCGCCGGTCCGCAGTTCACACCCCCTGCTCCTGCCCTTGACCGCCAATGCCACGGGCCAGAGCAGGCCGGACCCGGCCGGTCAGCAATCGCAGCGGGGCCGCCCGGGGAGGCTGGACTCGGCTGGGCCGGTGTGCGCTAGGGTGCCCGGGTCGCGTGTCCTTCGGCCGGCCGCGAGGTCAGGCGAGCTGTCCTTCGCCGCCACTCCCCGCCTCGGGCCCTGCACCGGCGGCTCGCGGTTGGCGTGCGGAGCCGTGCCGGGCCTCCCCCGTCTCCGCACGCGGGAGCACTGAGCTCCCGGCGGCCGAGGGTGTGCGCGGATCCCGGCCCGGCCACCGCCTCGCCCTCCTCGGCTCCCGCCCCCTTCCCGGCCCGCCAGCAGCGGCTGCCCGGGCGCACGTACCTGCTCGCGCCGGGCCGGGATGCACCGCGTCGACCGCTGGGGGGCTCCGAGGAGGAAGGGACAGGGAAGGGCGGGAGCGGGGATCCTGGAGCGCCGCCGATCGAGCTCCGCCCGCGGCGGGCGAGGGCGCCCGGAGAGTTAGCGTGGGGAGGGAGAGGGAGGCGGCTGCGGGTGCCCGGCCCCCGCCGTCCCTAGGGCCACCACTGTCTCGCCCGCGCGCGCTGGCCAGGGAAACCCGAGGCTAGGAGCCTGCGGCGCTGAGCGCAGGGGCGGGGCGGGGCGTTGGAGGGGCGGGAGAGAAGACCCCTCCCCTGCCTCTCGGGAGACCTAGCTGCACCCAGGGATGCCTTTTCCACTCCAGGTAGGACCCAGGATCCCTTTCAAGGTCTGCAGGTCCAGAGTCTCATCACTCAGTGAGACTCGATGGCTCACAGGCGCCACGTGAAGGCTGAAACGAAGCCTCTGCCCACTTCTGTTTCTGATGGATATCCTCCTGGGGTAGCCACACACACCGTTACCCTCCAAGGCCACCTGCAAGTCCCCTTCTGTAGGCAGCCTGTCTGGTTTCCTCACACACAGACCCTCACCCGGAGGAGTTCCTCCAACATGACACCCCCTTGACCTGGATCGCAGCTCTGTGCACAGGTTTCTGTTTTAAGGGGAACTTCTTCCTGAGACGACTGGTAAGGAAAGTAAGGTTGTGGTTTCTGGGAAGACTTGATGGCTAGCTCATCAGTGTCCACCTTTGTCCAGAGGAATCATGGCTATAGACTCAGGAATCCACCAGTGTGATCAGAGGCCATCCAGAAGATAGAGGTGAGAAGGCCCTACCCTGGCTCCTTAGTTCTCTCACTGGCAAAGGCGCGTGGGTCCTCCTCCAAAGGGATTTGGAGCGTAAAGGTTGTCTTGGAAGTCTTGTGGGCCAACATAGCCAGGCCCTGTGCTGAGCCAGCAGAGTTGAACAGGCCTGTCTTCCCTGTCCTTCCAGAGGTCTGGCCCATTAGGATCTCCACGGGAAACCTGCCCAGATCTTGTGCAGTCCCATCTCCACCCCTCACAGAAATATGACATTGTGCATATTCCCTCTCGAAGCTCAAGTTTTCCCTCCAGTAAACTAACTCAGGACCTATGGGATGTCATGAAATCCCAACCATTAGAGTGGTCATAGTTCCTCCCTGTCCTGTGCAGTCCTGCCTCACAGCACACCCCCAGAGGTCACTCTGTTCCCTCACTGCCCTCAAGTCTTTGCTCACATGTCACCTTCTCAGAGACACCTGCCCAGGCCATCCTCTATAAAGAGCAGATGTGGCACACACCAGTACCCAGGAGACAGTGGCAGGTGGAGCTCTGAGATTGAGGTCATCCTGGTCTACAGAGTGAGTTCCAGGTCAGCCAGGGCTACACAGAGAAACACTGTCTCCAAAAAACCAACCAAACAAACAAAAGTGTATAGTAGATGCTTTGTCTGCCTCTCTCCTTGCTGAATCCTCAGAGACTTAAAAAGGAGCCAACCCCTAGGGAGTTCTTGATAAATACTCTTTGAATAAAGAACTGAGACGTGCAGGAGTAGTTTTGGAGCTCCTGTTGTATACTAGCAGCTAGGTAAAGCCCATCCCTATCTTCAGGAAATACCTGTGATATTCCAGGAGAAAGGGTTACCCACAGGTAACGCTGCAGCTGAAGTAAGGGCTGCCATACAGTACGATGTGCGGTGGTGTCTCAGACAGGGTGCTGGACCTGCCTTGGGGATGGGATGGTTGTATACAAGCTGGGATGGTGGTACAGAGAACAAGGTAGAGAGACTCAGCAGAGGACTAGCATGGGCAGATGTCTTGGGATGGGTGAAAGAGAGAGCTATGAGCATAGGGATGAGGGGCATGGTCACTGCAGGAGACCCAGGTAGGAAGCTGGTAGGGGATAGGGCTATGCTGGACAGGAGCCAGGTCTCTGCAAATCCTTGAAGGCCAAGAAGTTTGTTCTTCGTTCTCAGAACCATGGGAAGCCTCATGGAAGAGACTGGGCAGAAAGTTAGCCACCTCCCTTTTTCCCTTTTACATATGAACTTGACTTTTGGTTACTTGTCAAGTTCAGACTTTTTTCGGTTTTGTTTTGTTGTTGTTGTTTTTGTTTTTGGAAGCAGAGAAATTACTGAGCAACAGTGTTTAGATAAATATGACTTCTGGGAAGGAAGCTAGAATGGATGAGAATTGGAGATGTCAATATGAACTCATGTTCAGCTTAATATATATGTGAGTGATTACATATACAGATATTTACAGAGTGGTCCTAGGCACTTCTGGAGCCGTGAGTTACCATGCAGACATGGCCAAATCCAAGAACCACATCACATATAACCAATTCTGAAAATGACACAGAAACCCCTGTCACAAAGATACAAATCTCTTAAGGGGGTCAACCCTAAGTTCCAGAATAACATGTGCTTTGCCAAGAAGCACAAGAAAGGCCTGGAGAAGATGCAGGTAAACAATGTGAAGGCAATGAGTTCACATGCAGATACCATCTTATGAAGCCTAAGGCAGTTAAGTCCAAGATGCCAAAGCCCCAACTCCAAACTCAGCTGCCTTGTTTCCATCACTCACTCTAAGCTTAGGAAGCAGATTCCTAGCTACATGGCCAAGGACTACAGGCTATGCCAACCCATAGCCGAGGCTGCAGCTCCAGCTCAGACTCAGGCTTCAGCTCCAGTTTAGTCTCTAAAAGGTTTGAAGGCCTCTAGAAAAGGCTTCTATCTGCTAATGTGAAGACAGATGGGCTGACATGACATATCTACACACTGTTTGCAAGTGGTCACTGCCCAATACTGTTTTTACAAATAAAAAGGTGAGATCTGTTTAAAAGTATTTACAGAAATACACATATGCATAGATTCACACATGTGTAATTCTTTGTTAGAGGTCATGGTACTACACAGCAAAGAGCACACCAGTGCAGAGATTTTGGCTCCTCGTGTGTGTGTGTGTGTGTGTGTGTGTGTGTGTGTGTGTGTGTGTGTGTGTAGCTACAGGAGTCAGTTCTCTTCTTCCACCATGTGAATTCCTGGAATCAAGTTCATGTTATCGTGTTTGGCGGCAAGCACCTTTACTAGCTGAGCCTGAGATCCTGGTTTCTAATACCATTCTTCAATAAAAGAAACCAGGGCTCCTTGGGGCAATGAGGCAGAAAATACACAAGATGAATCAGAAAAAGAAATACTGTCTCAGCAGTTAAGAGCACTGGTTACTCTTCCAGAGGACCCAGTTTTCATTCCCAGTACCCACATGATAGCCAATAGACTGCCACTTCAGTTCCCCAGGATCCAGTACCCTCTTCTGGCTTCCATAGTCACATGACACATGGATAAACATGCAGGTAAAACACCCACACACATAAAGGAAGATAAATAAATCATTTAAAATGTTTAATTAAAAAGAAATAAATACTGAATACTGGCCAGATGTGGTGGTACATGCCTTTAATCCCAATATTCAGGGTGGGCAGGGGACAGGTAGGTGGATCTCTAGGTTTGAGGTCAGCCTCATCTACAGAGCAAGTTCTAAGACTGCCAGGTTACACTGTCTTAATACCCCCACAAAAAGAAAAGAAAAAACTACATCTCACACATACACACACACACACACACTTACACACACACACTGATGTGATCATACCAAAAGACACAGGTCAACTTAAAATGTTCCCAGCCAATGCTGGAGGGAAAACAATTACAATTAAGTAACAAAATAATATAGTAATATTTGGTTGTAACTGAAAGCATGGCATAAATATTCCTAACTCCATTCTGATATAAATAGCTGGATGAATTAATGAAAATATAAACCACCACCCTGTACTTCAGCTGTGCTCCCATGGTCCTCAAAGCATGGAACATAACACCCATCCTGAGGTGTTGGCTGCACCTGGTAATAGCCTTTCCAAGAGTGTGTATTGAGATGGGGGTTAACTAAGTACCCGAAAAACCCAGCGCACTTACCAGATGATCCAGGTCCATACTTGTGGAATATTCCTTTACACTGTGTGAATATATGTCACTGTGATTGACTTAATAAAGATGTTGACTGGCCAATAGCTGGACAGGTTTAGATTAGGTGGGAGAACCAGACTAAGGACATGGGAAGAAGGGCGGAGTCAGAGGAGTCATCAGCCAGACATGGAGATGAAATAGGAGGTTCAAGATGAAAGAGAAGTAATACCACATGGCAGAATATAAAAGTTGTTACTAGGCATGGTATCACACAACTATAATCCCAGCACTTGGGGGCCTTCAGCAGCAGGATAGAAAAGCCTCTTCTAAAAAGTGAGTTAGTTAATTAAGTATCAGTTTTAACAGCTGGTAAACACTATAACTACCTACTTGGAAATTATACTTTGGACTTCCTGAAGATGGGGAGTTACATACCTGAGACTGGCCTTAAGGGACATGAAGCCTTTAAGCCAAGAATGGGCTTGCACCCACCTTTGGGAATTCCATATTGCACCTAAGAAGTGTTGATCTGCCAGACATAGCAAGGATTTCCACTCACAAGAAGGCACAGGGGGCCCTGTTCAAT